GGAAATAATATAACAGGTGGCGTCGCGATTTGTCGTCAAACAAACGCACATGTGAAAATGTCAAAAATTGAACAAATTTGAAAAATTGAGATAATGTTATGATTTTGATACTGTTATTTTTTCGACAGTTAAGAAAACCATTTGGAGATTAACAACTCTTATTTATCAAAATGTCAGGATCAACACAGGATAAACGAAACAAGGTAATTAATGAAATGGGCAGTATGCACTATAAGAGTCTAAGTAAGAAAAGAATAATAATAATGGGTTAGAAAACTGTCTTTTTATATATGATGCCTGTGCTTCAATGAGAAGAGTTACACACAATGGCACAGCTCTCATCTTATTTGTCCTTATTATTTGTCTAATTTTAAAGTAGAGGTCCGAGATAAAGTCTTGAATTATCAAAACATGAGTTGTTTATATTCCAAAAAAGAAACTTCAGAAACAGAGGTAGAGAATCAAAGATAAGGTTAGGCTTATTTGTTTTTATTAATTATGTATTCACAGAGAAAAAATGAAAAATCAAGTTCTGAATCAGATGACGATTATGTCCCATACGTACCAATTAAACAAAGAAAAAAACAGCAGGTGAATAACAACTGTTGTTATTATCATTATTGTTATTCAGTTTGATGCCTTTAAGACAAAACAATAATTAGTTTTTGGTTGATCTAGGCTTCTAGCTAGGTCTAATGGCAGAAAAGTTGGAATATAATTTTGTTAGGAAAGATCTATACTATTTTTATCCTAAATCAGATGGTTAATCTGTTTTGACTGTCAAGATTTGTTACGTTTTTGGTTTGTTACTGTTTTAACTGAATACTGTCATGAGATGTCTGGACAGAGCTGGTTTGAATTGAATTCACAGTTAACTTGCCTTATTCAAAACAAGATAATGAAAATTGTAATTTGCAAGTTCTATAATGTATCACTAGAGGTGTCAAACTGTTGGGTGTCTTTTTGATTTGTACTTTGATTTAGACAAAAAGTGTATAATTTTTTATATAGAATGTGTAAGATTTGAGTTAACATATAAAAAACCTTCACTCTGTGTAAATTTGTATACAGATGCAAGCTATTGAGAAGAAACTGGGTCGAACAGTTGCGACTATAAAACAAGAAGAAGAGAAAAAAGAAAGTACAAATGATGAAGAAGAAGTTGAAGAAGATCCAGAATCTTCTGTGGGTCCAAACGCTCATATCAGTTTGTTAGATCAACACAGTGAACTCAAGAAGAAAGCAGAAGGTTGATAGATTAAGCATTGATGTACTTGATTTCCTGTATGCTTTATAATTGCACTGCATGTTAAAACGTATTTTCTCTTTGTAGCTGTGTCAGAAAGTTTTGCCAAGAATCTGCAGTATACCCTGCATAATCTGACATTCACTGGGATTGTAAAACATTGTCAGATTAGCGAGAATGTCAGAGTACTCAAATTTCAGGATTTCTTTACCTGTGCCACAAATGTTACTATTTATAGTATATAGGTATTATCCTGTATTTTCAGCTAAGAAAGAAACAGCGAGAGAAAAGTTGTTAAAAGAAGAAGAAAAGATTCTAGAGAGTGTTGCTGAGAAGAAAGGTAATGAATTTGTATTATGATTAACAATATAGAAATAGAAATATTAAAACAGAACTTGAATCATGTTGTTACTCAGAGATCCACTCTGCGCGATGATTGCGATCATCATGCAAATGTTACATATATGTATGATTCTCAGCGATATTTCTCAGTGTAGGCAAACAGCAATATATCATGAATGAAGAGTTGTCTTTTTCATTCAATTTTGCACATTTCTTTCACAAAAACAAATAAGAATCGTTTGTATTTTACAGCTTTAATGGGCGTGGCTGAGTTAGCAAAGGGTATACAATATGAAGATCCTATTAAAACTGGGTGAGTGTGATTAATTTTTTGGATGGAAATCACAAGGATGCAATGAAAAAAAACAAAAATCAGAATTTTTACACATACCAACTTAACCATGATATAAATAACTTCTCGATTGTGTATAGATGGAGACCACCAAGATACATTATGAACATGCCAGAATCCAAACATGAAAAACTCCGCAAGAAATGGCATATACTGGTAGAAGGTGATGACATGCCTCCACCCATCAAATCATTTCAAGAGATGAAATTTCCTAAACCAATAATTACAGCTTTAAAAAAGAAAGGAATCAACAAGCCATCACCTATACAAGTCCAGGGGATCCCTGCAGTGTAAGTAATCCTTAGATGGACCTATCTCTTCTCAAAAGCAGTATTCCAAATCTTTATGACAGTGTTTGAAAAATTTGCTCTTAATTAGCAGAAATAGGTTCCATGAGCTGTTTACATAATATTGGTAAGAAAATCATAGATGTATACTATGAATCGGGCTCTAGAAATAGATGTGTGTCTTTAAACAAACATTCTGAAGTTTTTTTTAAATGTAGACATAAGAATAAGTTTTAATTGTACAACTTCAGTAGGGACGCAGGATTAAAAATAGGTCAGTTATCTGAAGATCGCATAACTCTTAGTAACAACATATTTTTTTAAGTTCTGTTTAATATTTCTATATAGCTCTATGATTGATGTATAGAGCACTAGTTTAACAGAAAAATATTTTACTATTGTTTACGTGTTAAATATTTTTTATGTGATCTGTGTAGAGATGTATTTCTGTTTATGATTTATAGGTTATCAGGAAGAGATATGATAGGGATAGCCTTCACAGGATCTGGTAAAACATTAGTCTTTACATTACCTATCATCATGTTTTCACTTGAACAAGAGAAACGACTACCATTTATGAAAGGAGAAGGCCCTTATGGTCTGATTATCTGTCCTTCTGTGAGTATATTCAAGTAGTTCACTTATTAATATCAATTCAGTTCATTGACTAAATTAAGAACATAATTCTTTGAAGTATGGAAAGTAACATTCTATTTAAAGCAACTTGAAACTATGAGAAAAAACTTTACAACACAAATACTTATCTGTACAGTGTATCATTGTGTATTTTTCTTGCTTTCCTTGAATTTGTTTTTATATAATGATTGTCTATTGTTCTACTGTTTCAAATTTCAGAGAGAATTGGCAAAACAGACATATGAAATAATAAATTTTTATGTAAAACATCTAGAAAATGATGGATATCCACTATTACGTACCGCATTGTGTATGGGAGGTATGGCTGTTAAAGAACAACTTGATGTTATTAAGAGGTTTGTGCTTTAACGTATCCTTAATTGATTTCACCAAAACCTTTACCTTAAATATCTATTCTTGTCTAAGTCTGGCTATACTGTACGTTTCCTTTCTTGTTTTTTATTCTGATTGTGACTCAACAAGATAGTGACTTGCCAGACCTACGTAGATTTGTCTTTCTATATAATTTCCAAAATTGACCATTATAAAGTGTAAAAATTGACCTATACTTATCTAAGTTTATTTGTATGTTTATAGAGGTGTACATATAATGGTAGCTACCCCAGGAAGGTTAATGGATATGTTAGATAAAAAGATGATTAATTTAGATGTATGTAGGTATCTCAGTATAGATGAAGCTGATAGAATGATCGATATGGGATTTGAAGAAGATGTCAGAACAATTTTCTCTTATTTTAAGGTTTGCTTTGAATTTTTTTCCAGTTATACAATTTATGGCAAGAATAAAGAATTGACAAAATTTTGTTAGGAACGCTGGCTTGTTGGATAATTGAAGGTTAACAATTTCGTTTATAATTTTTTAAGTAAGAGATGAAAAAATTCTGAAGCCATAAACAGTGCTTGCGAAAGTCAGCCAGGTTTCGGTTTTCAACCCCTCACTTTCCAAATTCTTTACTTTCAGGGACAAAGACAGACATTGTTATTTTCAGCTACTATGCCAAAGAAAATTCAGAATTTTGCTCGGAGTGCTCTAGTAAAACCTGTAACAGTAAATGTTGGAAGAGCGGGTGCTGCTAATCTAGATGTTATACAGGAGGTGGAAAATGTCAAACAGGAAGCTAAAGTTGTATATTTATTAGAGAGTTTACAGAAGACAGCTCCACCTGTAAGTTTCCATTTATCTAGTCATAGCATTTGGATAACTCTAGCTGCTAGCAATTTTATCGGCATATATTGAAATATCCAGTCTAAAAGCTTAGTTTAAAATTGAATGATAGGGTGTACAAATTTGGAAATCTCAATGCTATAAAAAGATATTACAATATGAAGTTCATAAGAGCAATGATTACTCCCTCCATTGAAAAGTAAACAGTTTACCAAACACCAAAAGTCACTTTACAATATATAAAATTAGCCATTCGGGAACATAAGTAATTATAGTTAAATTATGTTAAATACACCAGTCTGAACAACGAACAATATGGTATTATATTTATTTATAACAGGTGTTAGTATTTGCAGAGAAGAAACAAGATGTAGATGCTATACATGAATATTTATTATTGAAAGGTGTTGAAGCTGTAGCTATCCATGGAGGAAAAGGTTTGTATCTTTTTAATTTAATTTGTTGAACAATTGCTAGCTGGACTGACGATAAAGTTCCCGGGAACTGGCAAGACCAAAATTTTAGTTGTTATAATGGAGCTAGAGGCCCTGTGTTCTACATTGTAAGCATCCCAGATTTGTCAAGTTTGCATACCTCTCACAAAAGTAGCTCCATCATTTTTTTTGGAATATGAAAATCTATATACTAGTATATTAATAGCCTATTATTATGTGTTTTCCATGTAGATCAAGAAGAAAGAAGTCGATCTGTAGATCAGTTTAGACAAGGAGAGAAAGATGTATTAGTAGCTACTGATGTAGCATCTAAAGGTTTAGATTTCCCCAATATACAACATGTTATTAATTATGATATGCCTGAAGATATTGAAAATTATGGTGAGTAAACAGAATGTATCAGGGGAAGATTTTAAAGATGATTTCAAGATATTATCAATAGAAAATTTGTTAATAACATGAATATAATTTATGGTATTTGATTTCCAGTACATCGTATTGGGCGTACAGGAAGATGTGGTAAAACTGGTTTAGCTACAACATATATTAATAAATCTATTGGTAAGTACCAGTTTTCTAGTCTAATCTTGATAACAGGCTTTGGAACCAGTACAGTATTGATGCAGGTTACAGGTGCGGAGATGGAAAAGCTTGACGAAGGCTGTCCTAGCCAAACTTCCCTTATTGTACATTAATAGACTTTCTGCTTCCTGTGAAATTTCCATATCAGTTCAATTCATTTTATTTCACTTGCCTCTTCAGATGAATCAATACTGTTGGATTTGAAACATTTATTAATGGAAGCGAAACAGAAGGTACCACCATTCTTATCATCTTACGTATCTGAAAGTGAAAAATATCTTGATTTGGGAGGTAAGATTTCTTAATCATTATTTATGCATTGAAACAGTCAAATAAAACCTCAACATTAACGATATTATGCTTATTATTATATGTGATGAATGCACTATGCATGTTAAAAGGGAGAGTATTCTAATTAACAGACTCAAATTATCAAAAAAAAACCAGTTAACAATATTTCAAATAAAATCTACTATTTTTATACACAATGTGACTAATGGACTTGGCTAGACTTGGTCAGATTTTAATGAAACTCGGTATGCATACAACAACATATGTTTTCAAGGTGAGTTGTTGCCCTTTTCATCACACTTACACATAGCACTAAAATGTAACAAAATCAACTACATCATATTATGTAGTTTGGGCTGCCATGAAATTATTTACTGTGTATAGCCTCTTGAAAAGACCACTTGCTTTTTCTTGTTCTAGCTGTAGTCATCAAATGGTTTTAATATTTATCTTACACCATTTCAGGTGAAGTTGGATGTTCTTACTGTGGTGGTTTGGGTCATCGTATTGCTGATTGTCCTAAATTAGAGGCCATGCAGACCAAGCAAGCTCAGAACATTGGACGAAGAGACTATTTGGCCAATAGCAGTGCTGATTGGTAGTGTCAATTTAGTTATCTTGTGCTTTATTGTTGATCTGTGTAGTGAAGTCAAACCCAGAAACGATTGGCTGACAGCTGAGTCTGGATTACCAAAGTGAAACATGGTCATGACCCTGTGCATTTGCTGCTGTTAAGGGTAAATTTCCTTAATGATTAAGCTGCATGGAAGTTTAAAGGATTTGAAAATGGTCAAATAATAGATTCATCATTCTTGAATGTAAAATCATATGAACTTTATTGGTCTACAGTTGACCACTATTTCCATAGTGAAAATGTGTTTAAATTTGGTGAATCATAAGTGGTCAGTAGTTATACAATCAAATGGGTTGTTCTGTTCCCTTCCCAGATCCTCAGGTAACATGGTCACATTTAGAGTCATTTAATTTAATGCGAGTTCAATCCAACCAACCCATTTTTGTGTCGAATAAATTTATTTACTTCTTTTGTGTCTGTTCGATCATAAGTACATTCCATAATGAAGGTGTATCACAGTGCCTACATTGCCACAGGTGCTCCAAACTATCTACTAAGAACTTGTCCACTCTGTGACCGTATCTTGCATGATCCACATTCTCACATAAATCTTACTTTTTGGACCAATATAAAAAGGTGAGGGGTTGACAAGGACAAGATTATTAACAATGTCAACATTTATTTCTCTTCAGTTTTACAAAACGTTTCAACATAAAGGAGACATGACTGGAATAATGTGAACTAAAAAAAAAAACAGTTCATTTAGCACTACTGATATTTTGGTTCTGTATTGTCAACAACATAGTCTTTGGGTACAACATACTTTCCTCTTGATTTTAATACGCAGTTCCATTGTTACTTGTCAGAAATGCACTAAATAATGCAAAGAAATTTGACAGAGGTCAATGACTATAACCATTCCAATGTAATGACAGTCTCTTTAACATTAATTTTCCTGAAGTGTATGTAACAAGTGCATCAAGCAATCTTTCAGTCAAACTGTATATCCTGACGATGAGTAAACTATATGAACATGCTTTCACAAACCAGTCGGTTTTCAGATGTACCCAACAGTCAACTAAATTCTGGGGGACTAAAATGAAATTCTTACACAATATGACTGATTAACAACAATATAACATTAAAACATATTGGTGATCTTAACAAATGTTTAAAACTTACAGTACAATCACAAGAAATTTTGATTAGAGCTCCAAATTCAAGAACAAAGGATTGTAACTATCAGTATAAAACAGTTTGTTTAGATCAGCATACGTCTTTCAATATAACAAAACAATCATATTTGATTCTAAGAAAATAATTTATGCTGTTTGATATCTATATTATTTTACTATATTCAATCTAACAATCGATTGATCACTGATTTAGTGTGAAGCACTGATATAACTACAAATTGTATAGCCCCTCAAAATAGATCAAGTGTTTTCAAAAAATCCATAAATCATAGAAAATAAATAATTAAATGATAAATAGCTTTGTATAAACAAATAACTGTGCTTACAAAAAGCACTTTAAACCAATTTTTCTATTTTGAAAGGCTCTACAAGATGCATTACATGCACTACGCAATTATGATTTACTATTAAATGATTCAAATTTCACGATTTCGGTTTATCTCAAACTTATCAATCAACGAAATACGATATTCAAACGCACACTATAGAATTATATTTGTTTATCACAAGTTTATTTCTTTCTCAACCCAGCTCTGTGTTATTTTTAGGTTTTTGTTATAAGTACATGTATAACGAACACTATGATTATTGTTAAACGTTGCACATCACAAATACTGTTAACAAATCTCATCGGGATATCCAGTTGTATCATGGACAACTAACAACTACGGAATGGAACGGAAAACTTGACAGTACGCACATTTGACACAGAACTTTCCTTTCTTCACATCTCAGTCTGAGCAAATTTAATGACACAATCTTGTGGTTCAATCCCATGCTGACCTGTAGTTTATTCAGCTGTGTAACCGCATGTCACCAGAAACAATTTGATACTCTCACCCAATTCCTAGTGGACTCTTGGTTAATCTTTACTTTGAAATATATATAAATTATTTGTAGCTGCAATGGCTATTATATTTTCCTGTGGATGCCATGCAGTGTGGAGAATCTTTTTATTGAAGTCCAAGCAGTCAACACTAATTTCATCCTTTTTTCGTCTCCCACCAGTACAAACTTTCTTTGTTTTCAACACAGTCCCTGGTTTCATGTTATCACGTGAAGCTTCTAATGTGTAATCCTTTTTCCCTTCTCGATCAAACATACGGAAAAAATTATTATATGATCCAGTCATTATGTGTCTGAAATTAGAAAAATATTTAGTTATCATTTTGTGAAAGTTTTAGGTTAATCAATCAATTATAAGGTTATACAAAAGTGTACTTAGAGTCCGGGGCTTCAGTAATCTACAGAGAAAATAAAGCACGGTTAAACTTCTACATCAAATTAATTTTCCTGTCGTTTCCATTATAAAATAAAATACTATTATTCTATAAAAGTGTCTGAGACAGGGGTAGTTTGGTAGCTTTTCATGTAATAAGAGCTGTTGTTTTTGGGGTTTTCTTCTGTGGAAGAAGGGTATTTATCTTGACTAAATTGAAATTTCTGTTACCGGTACTTTGCTGGAAGGTCTGTGTTATGAATGGGACAGAGCCACCATGAAAACCCTCTGCCCATCTAAAAACCAAAATAAATCATTCTCTTGAAATGTGCCAGCAGAGAAAAGATAAATGAGCTTACCTATCATTGCCACTCCATGAACATTCAAATTTATCAAAAATACAATCATTTTCATATAAAGAACATAATTTACTACGAAGAAATTCATGGACAGGATAAGTTTCCACAGGTCTACTTTCCATTAACAAGTCCCAAACTTTCACTGACAGATAGTCTCTAGTTATCATATAACGCCCACTATGACTAAATTTAACATCTGATATACTAGCAATAATTTCAGAGAAAAAACTACGATTTGTTGGGTCTTCTGGCTCTTCAAATACTAAAAGTAGAAAAAAACAATCATTGCTATGTTATATAAGTTTAACTTAAATAATGCGTCTAAATAGATTGCAATCAACTGATTGTACATAGAGTCCGGGGCTTCAATAATCTACAGAGAAAATAAAGCACGGTTAAACTTCTACATCAAATTAATTTTCCTGTCGTTTCCATTATAAAATAAAATACTATTATTCTATAAAAGTGTCTGAGACAGGGTAGGTTTAAGATATATTTGTACCGATTCATACTAATGAGGCCCGCTTGAGGCAGATCGTGTCATGAAAATTGACAACAGAAAAACAAGAGTTCTTTGTCTCACATTATCAGCATTATCTTGAACAGTTTGCTAGTGGGCAAATAAACTCAGTATCTGTAAGAATCCATACAGGAAATTATGACATGTAGTAAAGAATTCTTTTGTCAGGACAGATAAAAACACAATATTTCATAAAATGTCTATTTCAATGACTGCCAAATGTATCTCCAAAGCATATCTCTAAAAGATATATTGATTTTCAACAGGTTATCAATCATAGTCAGAAAATATCCTTACGCACTTTGACTTGAAACTCAGCTATGAAAAAAGCCAAAGACTTACTTTTAGCATAGGAATCACATAGAGCCTGTTGCCTCATGTCACAGAGTCTTATGGTTCCTTTACTACTACTGTAAACAAACATATTACATTCGTTAGGGTGAAACTCGGATGCTGTGATGACTTCAGTTAAATCTTCCATGTTAGCTGGTTTTATATCTACAATATCTTAACACAAGGTTAAAGAAAATTTAGCAATTTTTGGGACAGTGCTATGGGATTTCAATAAATACCCAAACATTCTCAGTGTTAAGCCATACAATAATGTTACAGGTTAACATATGCATGGTGCAATCCTTTTTGCTAAAATTCACTAGGATTAGAGAATCCAATTTGCAAATGTCATGAAAAATTGTACATAGAGTCCGGGGCTTCAATAATCTACAGAGAAAATAAAGCACGGTTAAACTTCTACATCAAATTAATTTTCCTGTCGTTTCCATTATAAAATAAAATACTATTATTCTATAAAAGTGTCTGAGACAGGGTAAGTTTATGTCTCAAGAAAATATTTGAGATTTGCTTAAACAATGTGGTCAAGTTAGTCAGAATAATTAGTCCAAACAAGAAACCATGTTTAGGATTCTTGCATAAAAAGGATACTGAAACTTTGGTCTGTAATTTCTAAATTCCATAAATTAATCCGCAAATCATCAGCTGATAAATAGGTTTCTAAATCGCTATTAACGGAAATAGAATTTATATGATACGTGTGGGCATTAGAAAATACACGTTTTGGACTAGCTTCTACCATTAATTCCATTGGACTGAATGTGGGAACACGAAGTGATGTTATTGAACTAGGATCTCTCATAATCCCTCCATCATCTTTTAAATTATAACCTTCAGGTTTCTTATCTCTTTCTGCTACTTTCCATAACTTTATCGTTTTATCTGTAAATATTATTACAAAATTTTTTAACTCTTTTACAGAAAGCAATATAAACAAGGAAACTTTCAATGTACCATATTACGCATTAAGATATAAAGTTTTCAAAATGATTATCTTTACAATGCATAATGTCAACTGAAATTCACTCTTGTTTCACCATGAAATTCAGCATATAATCAATCTGATCTATTTTAATTGACACAGCATTAACTTAATAATAGTTCAACATACCATTTGTGGACAACAAGAAATGATTTTTGTTCGTTCTTTTCAACCATCTTATTTTGTTTATTTTTTCTTCAATTTCAACACTCTTGAGGTAATCAAATTCTGGTTCATGACTTTGAAAGGTACTATAGACATTATATTCCCCACGACTTGGTATGGCAGCCTTTGCCTGAAAAGAATTTTGATACTATTATCAACCAAATCCTGGTGTATGATCCTGGGAAGGAAAAAAGCAATAAAACATAACTGCTTTTGTGTAATGATTCAAGTCTTAAACTTTTCATTTAAACTGTAGACAAGATATATTTAAAAGAACTAATCCTTAATTCTTTTAGTGCAATCTAGTCCTTTTATCTGTCTGTCTGCAATACACCAAATCATATAAAGGTTGAGGTGTAAAAGATGACAGACTTATAGTATACTTTTGAAAAACTAACGACTAGCCCAGTTCAATAGTAAGGTGGGTTATCAATATTTCTAGAGTGCTAGCGACAGCGTAAGATATCAAAAGAAAACTGTCACTGATCATCAAGCACATCATTTAAAACATTTGATTGTCAGACTCACCTGCAAGTCGCGCTGGAAAATAACCACACGTCCTCCTTTATCGCCTGTAGCGAGCAAATCTCCATCAGAATTAAACTCAACACAGGATATTATATCAGCTGAAATAAAGAAACAGATTATTACCTTAGTCAATGAGGCAACTGATATCATGTTGTCAGCATCACTGAATACATTAGTTCATAGAACAATCATGACAACAATAATTGCCTAATATTATCTAAAGCATGAGCTAATCAATTTTCAATCAAAGTAAGCTTAGGCTCCAACCAAAATGTCAAATTATATTGCTACGGGCTACTGTAATATAATTTTGCAAAAAATTACCCTATTTTTCTATCATTTAAATCTCATAGATAATCTCATAAATAAATAGATCGAGGCCTAAACTACTAATACTGTCTATTCAAATTATTTGTATAATTATACATCATAAATAATCTATACAAATATAAACATAAACAATTGACACACTATGATGAAAATGAAATGAAATGGAGTTTTACGTCCTACTCTTCTGCACCTTGTGGGCTAATGAAGACGGGCAACGCCATGCAGGGTGCCATGAGGGAAATTTTGCCAGGACAGCGGCATTAGCCTGCTCTTTTTCGATTTCCAACTGTCGAGGGGTCTTTAACGTGCACAGCCTGTAGCACACGGGGCCTCGGTTTATTGTCCCATCCGAACGACTAGACGCTTTTTTCATGTCAGCCCCTCTTACCTGCATCACTGACAGGGGGAAACCGGGTTGAAAAATCCGAAGGTATTATCTCGACCTATGCCGGGATTGAACCCTGGACCTTCAGGTTAGCGAGCAAGCGTCTAACTCACTGAGCCACCGCGGCTCCCGACACACCATGATGAAAGTTAAAGAGAATTGACAGAGTAGTCTGAGCAGTGCCATCAAACAGTTAGATCTATATTAAATCCCACTCAGCCTAACTTTGTCAATGTCAGAAAACTGTTTATTCATTATTGTTCCTCTAACCAATTTTCGTCATCACACAGCTACTGACAGGTGTCCTTTTAATTGGGAGAATGGCCAGTGCCATGTCGGGAATTCTAAGAAAACAATCAGGAAGTAATCGCACACTGAAAGGCCCTGCTTTCATAACCGATATGATCAGCTTTACCGACAAATTACGAATAATATTTTTAGGTTTTACCATTATAGATCTACTGTCTAAAATGCCTTACCTTCAGTAACTTCATCCTCTATAGTACCTTTAACCTGAGAAAAGCACCACTGAATCTCCCCGCCACTTCCTACAAAGCAATAAAACAAAGAAAATCAGAGATAAAGTAATATTTTTGTCAAGAAAATCTCACGTTGATCGATGAACCCCTGGAACGCAAAATACAACATATTCTTACCCGACGCCATAATAACACAAAATATGCAATTTCGAATGTACTGTAAAAACCATGGAATTTATATTTCTGACCAATTGCAACTGGCAATTTTATTTCATTCGGATGGAATCAGATTTAATTCATAGCTTCTTTACTTCCGATACTCGGTAAAATGGCGCTGAAAGGCTGGGAGATCTGCATTGGTGACGTCATTTTTGTTGCATGCTGGGAGTAGAGTGAGTAGGTTTATCGGGAAATAGGTCAGTTTATTTCTAATGAGCAAACAAATCAGGAACGAAATGCTTTAATTTAAAACTAAGAAAACAAACGAAAGATCCTCCACACATGACGGGACAAATTTTTAGACAAATCCCCCAAAATGCATGAAATGACACTGCCGATTTTGAATAATATCGCCGTCACAAATATGTTTGAATTTTATTATACCCCGATCTGATTGGATTATCAATTAGGTTAACTAGTAATCGGTCACAAATTAATCAATTAATTATTGACAACCATGACCGCAAGGTAATTGATAAATAGAGTAGAATTATTTGAGGATACAGCCTACATGATGTATTTTAAAGTCAAATATGATATTACTTTTCAGAGAGCAAAAAAAATAGAACAAATAAAAATATGATCTATCAGAGTCCTTGCTCCTCAATATCATGAAAAACTAATATAAATCAAATTAATCGGTTCAACCAAAGAGACAGAACTGTACTAATACTAAAGGGTGATTTCATTACGTTTGCATGCGGCGTTCTACACCAAAATAACCAACAACATTTATTTGGTTATAAACACAAATCATTACCCCGGTGATGTTGATGGTGCAGAGAAAAGTCCGGAAGACAAAGATTCATAACTCCAATAACAGAGTCTTCAACGTCAGACAAAAAAACACGAAATCCCTAATCTGGAGACAATCGTGTTACGTAGGCTGCGTTATAGATTGTAGTTTTCTAATATTCAGTTCACATGCATGCACTAACCCAAAAGTCAGCCGGAAACCCCTACCACTATAATAACCATTTTGGCACAGCCAGGTACACAATGGTCCTTTTATACACAAGAAGGCCTAAGCTATGTTGTGAGACCCAAAAGAGAAAAGTGACATTGAACCGTATCTCATGATAATTATCATTGCATATATATATATATAGTGTCTTCAGAGTAGGCCCTAAGGTGGCTCCAACCCAATATAGACAGGACAAGTAAATACATTTTTATACGCCCACACGAGGGGGGCGGGGGCGTATATTGTCACCCATATCCGTCCGTCCGTCCACAATTCCTCGTGAACACTCTACAAGGCACATATCTTGACTGATTTTGACGAAACTCGGTATGGTTGTTTGTAATCACCCAAGGATGAACCCTATTGAAAATCAGAAAAATCGACAAATATTTAGTATGAGTTATTGCCCTTGCTCTTGAAGCGCCCGTAAACACTCTAAAAGGCGCAATTCTTGACGGATTTTGATGAAACTTGGTGTGAGTGTTTGTAATCACCCAATGATGAACTCTATGAAAAATGAGGAAAAAGGGTGAAAAATATCGGCCTTGTTCTTAAAAATGCGTTCAATTATTGACAGATTTTGACGAAGCTTGGTGTGAGTGTTTGTTTTCATCTAAGGATGAACCCTATCAAAAATCAGAAAAATTGAAAAATATTGACTATGAGTTATTGCCCTTGTTCTTGAAAACGCATTCAATTTTTAGCTCGTAAACACTTTAGGAGGCACATTTCTTGACGGATTTTGATGACAATTAGTGTGAATGTTCGTCATCATTCAAGGATGAACCCTATTGAAAATCAGAAGAGTTATTGCCCTTCTTCTTCAAAACTCTTTCAAGTTTTACCTCATAAACACTCTAGAAGGCACAAATCTTGGCAGATTTTGACGAAACTTGGTGAAATTGTTAATGATCACCCATGGATAAACCCTATCGAAAATCAAAAAAATCGAAAACTGTTTCATAGAAGTTTTTGATTTTTTTCTTGAAAACTCTTTCAAATTCAGCTCTTTGAACACTAAAAAGCATGATTCTTGCCGGATTTTGATAAACTTGGTTTTATTATTCAGTACCGCGCTGAGGGTTGAATATTTGCCTTGTAGAGTTTCACAAGCTAAAAACTGAACACGTTTTCAAGAACAAGGGCAATAACTCATACTCAATATTATTCAGTGTCGCCCTAAAGAGTTCAAAAGAATTGTATGACTGAAGGTTGAATATTTCATACTGGTGATTGTTACTGCACTGCTAAATATTTTTATTGAAAATCAAAGCTGGTGGGCGTATATTACCTTGCCTGGCAAGCTATCTTTCTTGGACATATGCAATTGATAATATGCAAATATATAATATGACTATATTTTACTACAATCACTAGGGTCATATTATCTTCCATATAAAACATAGTATTGATAACCTATATCACATAACAAATATAATAGCTAATGCTAACATTCCTAGTGAATACAAAGCATCTTCAAACAAGAAAATCACAGGGATAATTTGGCATGTAGTAATTATCTGATACATTAGGCCTTTAGCAATATCACATTAAGAATCTGTCACGACAATCTGTTAATGATGTAGAATACAATAATATGATGATCAATATCACTGTTCCTTTAATCACTATCATAATGTCACTCATTGATTTGGAATGGATTGTCTCCCTTTACAGGCCTCCAAGTCGTTTGTATCTGATCACAGAAATAAACAAGGAGGGTTACGGATGAGCGTTAGCCTATCCCAGTCGATAGCTTCGGACTGTACGAATACATGTATATAGTATATTTACGTGCAGCTTTGAGGTCATGCTAGAGTCCAATCAAACAATAGACTTAATAAAAGAAGATTATGTTGCTTTTGTATTCCAATATAGGTCCTAATGAAGGGGACTAATGAATCATGTAATAGTATGTAAGCTCGAATGCAGATGGGATAGGCAAACATCTATATAGCTTTGAAGGCACGTTAACTACATACTTTTCTAAATTATTCCAATATGACACTAAAGACATCCGATCAGCAGCTTCTTAGGCCAACTATATAACACCACCATGGCAGATTCGATAGATTTGACCAATACGTTGACAGCTTTCTCTGCCTGTTATAGACTAAATTGATTACTACCAATTTAGAAGACTATAAGAGTAGCCTATTCAGTTTTTATAAGAATCACGAAGGTCAAAGCGGCTTATAAGGACTGATACCCATTTTAACCAATAATAAGTTGAACTTTTAAATAATTAGACTTTTAGAAATCTAATCCTTTTTTACGAATGTCAAATTGTTCTTGATGCAAAGAATATTTAAAGACAAGCTAATGGGAAGAAGTTATTTATTATCTCCTATTATTCCAATTGTTTCTCATTAAAAAGTTACAACAAACATCCAGGAAAAATAATATCGTGAGTATTCAGAAACCGATTCGAGAAAGTTAAGAAAACTTAAAAGGTGCGGGCACGCGAGCAGTCTTGGTCAGTCGAGACTTTTGTCGGCGATTAGAGTCTTGTCTTGAGTTCCAACGACTGGCACGAGCACAAGAGGAGACAAAAATCTCCAGTCGGTCGTTTTCCACCTTGTCGATAACCACCTGCGGGGTGGTGGTGATCTGTCGACGTCGATTTAGTGGAATATGGTGCAACCAATCGCTATCAGTATCTCTGATACACATACGATTTAACAAAACCGTTAAGATCATACGATGAATCAGGTTACGAAATACCCAAGTCGACCAGACGACTGACTGAACCTGCTAGCAACAAGCGAGACTAGAGGATTCTGGTTGATCGCTGCACCTAAGCTCTCCGACGCAATTGACGTATATTATACATTGAGTTCAGGTATTAGGTAGAGTTATCTTACCTTTATCTTTATGTGTATGATGTATTGCAGTATGTAACATGTTGGTTATCCTATTAGAGAATTTATTGTGGTTCTTGTGGTTATTTATTACCGTCACCATCTTTAAAACTAGCATATACTATACAGCCACTGAAATATACAAAATTCACAAATTATATATACACAATATAATATATTACAGTAGGCCTAATATATTATAATAACCCATCGAAATTAATCTCCTATTACAGTCACAGCTATCAATATATAGCTATATTATACAAAATATTATTAATACCCATTCAATAATTTATTAATTTATTAAACTGAGTCCGGGATTAATGGTGTCGTCTACATCATATCATCGTGTCCAGACCACACCCCCATTCGTCATACTTCCCCGAGTTAAACCCGTATTCGGGATACGATGAGACTATGTCAAAACCCATACTCGGGATAAGTTTATGTTTCATTGAATAACTGTCATTTTTAATTTCCATATCTTGATGGTTTTTATGGTTTAATGGTAGCATGTATCATTCTCATATGATATTTTACATCATTATATTATATTGTTTTTAAAGTTGTGTCGTGAATCATGGTCAATGGTTTGGTTGTGTCATGTACAATAATGGTGTCATGTATAATATAATACTAGCGTCTTGAGTATAATGGTTTTAATGTGTCTAGCATGTCATGTATAATAATGGTGTCTTGTGTTTAATGGTGTCGTGCATCAAGTAGCCTAATGGTTTTCTGGTGTAATGTAAATTAACAGCGTCTTGTATAATAAATAGTTTTATTTAATGGTGTCGTGCATCATGTAATTGTTTGGTGTTGTCATGTATAATAATTGTGGCTTGTGTAATATAATGGTTAAATTGTGGTTTTCCTGTTTCGTATGGTGGTTGCTTTAATATCATCGTCATATAATGACATTAATGGCCATTATAATATCATTACTTAATTATTATGTTGCGTATTGTTAAAACTCGGTGATGATTATATTTTTATATATGAATTAAATAAAACAATCTCGTATGCGATATAATCTTGTCATAATTGAGCCAACCATTGAATTGGCCTAGTATAATTATAGACCCATGTATAATTTCGATATCAATGTATATTCACCGTATAATCAAATCTCGATGAAATTTCTGTGCATGTCAGGAATAACAAATTCCAAATTAAAATAAAATGTGCTGAAAATAGTTTTATCTGTAGATTTAAGATTCCTTCATTTCGGATTAATGTAATTTCACATACCTTCAAGCTAAAGTATCTATTTAAAACCGTTTCGAAATAAATCCCCTCACCTATTACTTGGGATAAGATGTTTATCACAATTCACGTGAACGCATTCTTTCAAGCAATCAACTTAAGAAGAACACTTGTTATGGTCGTGAAAGTCAAGAGTTTTTGTCTCATTTTAATTTACTCTGAACGTCACTAACTTTTCAAGTCAAAATGTAAACAAACTAGACAAATACTGCAATTATAATGTTGGTTGGGTCAGCCTTTGGTTTCAATGCGTAAAAGAACATTTTCTTACTCATCGTGCCTATGTTGCAATCAATTTATCCTTTTGATTTGGACACTGTTTTCAAAAGGTTAGACTTTGCAATTATAATGTTGGGTCAGCTTTTGGCTTGGTCCGTTCAAGAAATTGATTTACTAAATATTCCCCAATGATCATTTTAGTTCAAAGGATATTGCTACTCCTCTCTCAATAGCCCAGTCTCTTACAATAGTTTGATTTCATGTTACATAGCGATCTTTTATAAGATAGTTAACAAATTTGGACTTTATATATCAGCTGATTCATTTTATTAATTAATTCAGATACTATGTTGGCCATGTATATTTTTGTTAATGATCGTGACCTGGGCAACTATTTTTACCTAATCTTGTAAAAGTATGTTATCTTTGGATCAAAACGACATTAAGTTTTTCTAAGATAAGAATTTATACCTCATGCTTGTGACCCAAATTATAACAATAAGATTGATTATATTAGCAAAAACAACCATTTAAGGGTCACATTCCATTCATACACGCTTATCTTATAACATTTCAGTGTGATAACAGTTCTCCTTATTCACAATATTTGGACCCTGATGCAAGAATTCAACACGGCTCTCGTTCTCCATCTTCACAGTGTCAGGCTAACAATACCCTCCTTTCTAGTATCACTGAATGCAACGATTTGGTTAGATTATACACTTGCGAATACAGCCAACCAGAGCCCTCGACAGAAAGACTGCATTATGACCTATTGTTTTTTCTGTCGAGGCCATTAATTGGTATTCGCTAGCGACAATCATATCAATTCGTGACATTTACAGACTTCTGTGACAAAAGAAACTTGGCTTTTGCAGTCAAGGTATAAGCCAATCTTCGAAATAGCTTGATAGCTCTTTAAAGTTACGCCACAGAAAGGTTCTTAATAGTATTAACCTTTAAACCAAATTAACAAAGACTTTAGTGATAATGGAAGAAAATCAATGAGCAACGAAACTTTTTAAAGGCACAGTTCCTAGATTTGATATGATCTATAATATTCACATACTGAAGTTACAAATTTAAATGTATATAGTACAAGTCGTTAAATTATATGTATAACATTTGCAGATGTGTCACTTATGAAAATGTTATTGACCGGTTCATCTACCATGCAATTAAATGTTCCAGATAAATTTCTTGAGCGTTTTTAACATTCTGTTACGTAAACCGTGTAAAATATTTAAAAAATGAGATTATCGAAGATATGTGCATTGAACATCTGCATAGAAGAACATCACTAAAACAGCCTGAAATTTCAGACTTTCGCCACTTCTGCCACCAAGTTTTGAAAAATAATACATATGGCTGACACAGTGCTCTCAATGCATATATTCATTTTTCAATGAGAATCAGACAAAAAAACCGGGGAAGTGAAGTCGGTTAAAAATGAATTTGATCATTTCAGGATTGGATATAAAATATATTTTGGGGAAAGAAGCTACATGGATGGAGGTTGTTATTTCCATATACCATTTTTTTCGATGGTGCTTACGATGTTAAGATATATGCTGGCTGTATTGGAAAGATTTTCTCCATTGACCTAAATTGTAATTTCCCGGGACAGCATCTTTAAAGAATCTGTATCGATCTTAAAGCTTACATTAGTACCCCGGTCACATCTTTGTACTATAAAGTTGGTACTATTTATAGTAGCGAATTGATTTTATTATTGGTACCATTCTAACTATATTTACAATATACCCCCTGGAATTGACGGCCGGCGAGAAGGTGTGTTTTTTAAAGGCGATATAAGATTTCTTTTCTTAAATGGTAAAGCAAAAAATTAGAGATCGACATCGACAGGTAGGCCATTTTTTTGGTCAATCATACTTTAGTCTCAGAAATTGAAATTTTTAGTTGAACTAATCAATTATAGTGTTCACACCCCACCGTCGAAATTGAGCGTTAAAATCGCGTTTGAATGTTAAAATTACGACTCGTGAATTTAAGATACTCTGTGATATATAGAAAAGACATATGTAGACATAGTGAGTAAAATTAGTAATTTGAAGTATTTTTAAAGAAATTATGTGATATTTGTACATTTCTAGTACTAATGAGACTATTTTCATATATGCAAGACCCCCCAAAGTGGCATCACTGTCCCTTTAAAATATCTCATCGACATATAGTTTTTCAAGCTTATTGTCTGGCACTTTTTGTGCTACTTTTAGCTCCGAATTCTCACTCGATATGATATATTTATTACCTATATAGGCTTTAATTTCAAGGTTGTTAGAGTTTTTGACAATTGGCTTGTGTTGACAACAAAGTCATTAAATACGATATAAATATTGGCTACTGAATTACATACATACAGCTTTAACTGTTCAGGGGGGCTCATAATTGATACCATATACTGTATAAGAAATAGTTTAATTCGTTGATATATTGCCAAAAGCAACTGTCACCAATCAATTACATTGATCGCATTTTAAAACATAAATTTAATATAAGATTTTTGTTGACGCATGACGACAGCAAGCTTCTGACTTCTGACATTAGATACAGTCAGGAATGACAAGGCCTCTATCTAATCGCTATCATTTCGATTTTTTTTTAAATTTTGAAAAATTTCAGAAAACAAAAATTTGTTCCTCTACTGACATTAATAGCAAAACCAATATCAACTTTACAATATAAACGAAAACCAACATAATGTTGAACACCGTCCGATAAATCTTGGTATTTAACGCACAAGTGATCTCAATAAAAACAAAACCAGGTTAATTGTTTATAAAAATAGAAATAAAATGTTATGTAAATAATAAATATGTCTTTTGTAATTTGGATATTTTGTGTTTTTTCCTGTCATATAATCATCAAAACGAAACATTAAAAACTCATCAAGGTATAACATTAACAGCACAGCTGACAGCACAGCTGATAGTAGTAGCATCATCAAGAAACAACACTAAATGCTCAGCTATAGTAACATTATTAAGACGTTACATTAATAGCTCAGCTGATAGTAGCATCACCAAGACCCAGTCTAAATACTCCGCTGATAGTAGCATCATCAAGACACAATCTTAATACTGAACTGATAGTAGCATCATCAAGACACAGTCTTAATACTGAGCTGATAGTAGTATCATCAAGACACAGTCTTAATACTGCAATAATAGAATGCACTTACACACATTCAACGACTTGAATCCTTGAAAAAGACCTTTATACAGTTCCCAAATTAAACGGAAAACCGTTCTTTCTAGTGCTTTATGGTTGGATTTCGATACTTACCCTACTAATCTGATAGTATCATCATCAAGACCCAGTCTTAATACTGAGCTGATAGTAGCATCATTAAGACACAATCTTAATACTGAGCTGATAGTAGTATCATCAAGACACGGTCTTAATACTGAGCTGATAGTAGTATCATCAAGACACAGTCTTAATACTGAGCTGATAGTAGTATCATCAAGACACAGTCTTAATACTGAGCTGATAGTAGTATCATCAAGACACAATCTTAATACTGAGCTGATAGTAGCATCATCAAGACACAATCTTAATACTGAGCTGATAGTAGTATCATCAAGACACAATCTTAATACTGAGCGGATAGTAGTATCAGCAAGACACAATCTTAATACTGAGCTGAAAGTAGTATCAACAAGACACAGTCTTAATACTGAGCTGATAGTAGTATCATCAAGACACAGTCTTAATACTGAGCTGATAGTAGTATCATCAAGACACAGTCTTAATACTGAGCTGATAGTAGTATCATCAAGACACAATCTTAATACTGAGCTGATAGTAGCATCATCAAGACACAATCTTAATACTGAGCTGATAGTAGTATCATCAAGACACAATCTTAATACTGAGCGGATAGTAGTATCAGCAAGACACAATCTTAATACTGAGCTGAAAGTAGCATCATCAAAACACAGTCTTAATACTGAACTGATAGTAGCATCATCAAGACACAATCTTAATACTGAGCTGATAGTAGTATCATAAAGACACAATCTTAATACTGAGCTGATAGTAGCATCATCAAGACATAATCTTAATACTGAGCTGATAGTAGCATCACCAAGACACAATCTTAATACTGAGCTGATAGTAGTATCATCAAGACACAATCTTAATACTGAGCTGATAGTAGTATCATCAAGACACAATCTAAATACTGAACTGATAGTAGTATCATCAAGACACAATCTAAATACTGAGTCTTAATACTGAGCTAATAGTAGTATCATCAAGACACAGTCTTAATACTCCGCTGATAGTAGTAGTATCATCAAGACACAATCTTAATACTGAGCTGATAGTAGCATCATCAAGACACAATCTCAATACTGAGCTGATAGTAGTATCATCAAGACACAATCTTAATACTGAGCTGATAGTAGTATCATGAAGACCCAGTCTTAATACTGAGCTAATAGTAGTATCATCAAGACACAGTCTTAATACTTAGCTGATAGTAGTATCAACAAGACACAGTCTTAATACTGAGCTGATAGTAGTATCATCAAGACACAATCTTAATACTGAGCTAATAGTAGTATCATCAAGACACAGTCTTAATACTCCGCTGATAGTAGTAGTATCATCAAGACACAATCTTAATACTGAGCTGATAGTAGCATCATCAAGACACAATCTTAATACTGAGCTGATAGTATCATCATCAAGACACAGTCTTAATACTCAGCTGATAGTAGTATCATCAAGACACAATCTTAATACTCCGCTAATAGTAGTATCATCAAGACACAATCTTAATACTGAGCTGATAGTAGTATCATCAAGACACAGTCTTAATACTCCGCTGATATCATCAAGACACAATCTTAATACTGAGCTGATATCATCAAGACACAATCTTAATACTGAGCTGACAGTAATATCATCAAGACACAATCTTAATACTGAGCTGATAGTAGTATCATCAAGACACAGTCTTAATACTCAGCTGATAGTATCATCAAGACACAATCTTAATACTCCGCTGATAGTAGTATCATCAAGACACAATCTTAATACTGAGCTGACAGTAATATCATCAAGACACAATCTTAATACTGAGCTGATAGTAGTATCATCAATACACAGTCTTAATACTCAGCTGATAGTAGTATCATCAAGACACAATCTTAATACTGAGCTGATAGTAGTATCATCAAGACACAATCTTAATACTGAGCTGATAGTAGTATCATCAAGACACAGTCTTAATACTGAGCTGATAGTAGTATCATCAAGACACAGTCTTAATACTGAGCTGATAGTAGTATCATCAAGACCCAGTCTTAATACTGAGCTGATAGTAGTATCATCAAGACACAGTCTTAATACTCCGCTGATATCATCAAGACACAATCTTAATACTCAGCTGATACATGTATTATCATTAGCAAGACACAACATTTACAGCTCAGCTGATTGTGGCATCACTAAGATACAACATTTACAGCTCAGCTGATAGTAGTATCATCAAGATACAACATTTACAGCTCAGCTGATAGTGGCATCATCAAGATACAACGTTTACAGCTCAGATGATAGTGGCATCATCAAGATACAACATTTACAGCTCAGCTGATAGTAGCATCATCAAGATACAACATTTACAGCTCAGCTGATAGTAGCATCATCAAGATACAACATTTACAGCTCAGCTGATAGTGGCATCATCAAGATACAACATTTACAGCTCAGCTGATAGTAGTATCATCAAGATACAACATTTACAGCTCAGCTGATAGTAGTATCATCAAGATACAACATTTACAGCTCAGCTGATAGTAGCATCATCAAGATACAACATTTACAGCTCAGCTGATAGTGGCATCATCAAGATACAACATTTACAGCTCAGCTGATAGTGGCATCATCAAGATACAACATTTACAGCTCAGCTGATAGTAGTATCATCAAGATACAACATTTACAGCTCAGCTGATAGTAGCATCATCAAGATACAACATTTACAGCTCAGCTGATAGTAGCATCATCAAGACACAATAGAACCAACTGATATATATTATGTATGTAGTCATTTGTATGCTTGTTAAGGCATATTGCACATATCGTTCGGACAAAGCAATGATGTCGAGAAGCCTTCGCAAATCTTAAACAAGTTGGGCTGACTTCATCATATCAATAACAGCAATGGCAATACCAAATGGCAATAAATAAAAATTTTACATTGTCATTCACATCGTATATAGAGGAAATGAAATAATAGATGTTAGTCTAATTCTATCAAAGTGATAGTTGAGACAGACCATTGATAACTGGATTATTAAATTCTCTCTTCCACTGTGTCGTATTAAATCATTCCAATTATCTTCAAGTTTTCCAGTTGTTTTCTAGTATCGTTATAAAGAAGAGACGTCTAGGTGTTCAAATTTTAAATTGAATATTATATGTTATTTGACTACAAACAAAAAACCTCCCTTTACATAAAAGACAAGTTCTTTGTTGTCCTTACGATTTACATGTAATATATCATATTGCTAAGTCAACAATGAAAACATAGAATGCAACTCCATTTTGCTCTTCAAGTAACTATACAAACTGGTCAGATTCTTCTGAAACTACAAAAACTTTCTACAAAATCGGAATGGTGCTAATAGAATGCACTTACACACATTCAACGACTTGAATCCTTGAAAAAGACCTTTATACAGTTCCCAAATTAAACGGAAAACCGTTCTTTCTAGTGCTTTATGGTTGGATTTCGATACTTACCCTACTAATCTGAACTGGATGACAATTGTTTCTTTTCAGATCGGGGAAGAATGGATAGAAGATAATGTAAGTCGGTCATGTCAGCTTGTATCATTTCCTCCGATATCGCATTCATATCAATGTTAAAAGTTGTTACGATAGCTGACTGTGTCAAGGCAATTGGTGATATGCATTATGCAGCCACATTTATGATCGTAATCAGTTTTATTTAGCATCGTACAAATTTCTTACAGCACCTCTGCGAAGCTTAAATATCTGTCCATTTTTGAATGTAAAACAGTCTTGGCCTAATTTATGTTTTAAAATGACATTATCACCATCATTAGTATTAGTATTATTATTATTTAACTGTTTCAATGCTTATTATATGATGTATTTGCTTGTAAGTCAATGGCTCAGTGATCAGTCGATTATAGCTGGATTTTCTAGACCACAAAATGTCATTGGATCGAATCTTTCGCAAGGTGCGAACAATTCTGAGGCCACAGCTAGTGCTGCCAATATGACCCGTTGTTGGCCCTCGACCCTGTCACTAAAATGATTGTTGGACTCAGATGAATGGTTCTGAGCAATCAAACCTTCCCACACATTGTTTGTAGACATACAGGTAGATATAGACTATGTATGAAATTATCATAAATTACATCTATGGACATCAATCAATATAATATAACCCGAAGGTGTATACATTAATAGTTATTTAAATTCAATGTACAGTCGTCTGTATTCACCAACTAATACACAAGTAAGGCTAATATAGGTTAGATAATACTTTACCTGATTGCGAACGGAAACAGCTGGTAACAGATATGAGGAATATTTACTGATTGTAATCAACTTGTCTTTGGTCAGTAAATACAGTTAACTAACTTTAATCATAAGTCAGGATGAACAAATGTTACTCCATTAAATATCAATACTATTTTCTGGAATAGAATTCCACAAACTTCAAATTTAATTACAAATTAAATCCAAAAGAACAATTCCCAGATTTGTTTCAATCGTGTTCTTCTGTAACGTCCACGTACAATGAAGTGCAATCTTAAAAGAGTTAAGCCACTTGTTAATCTTCTTTCAAACGCTCCAAAAAGAATTGATCCCACAATGGATATTCAACAATTCACTGTTAATGTCCAATGAAAAGTTTTACCACCTTTCTGTACTTTAAAACCTAAACGCTTTCTAACACTGTTTAAAATGTTGACTATAGAATAATAAGGTTATAGTTGTTTTAACAACTCCTATAATAGCCTGAAGCAGGTTGGTTAAAATTAATATTTCCACATTTTAAGTCATTTAAATGACATTCAGCGTACTATACATAATATATCAATTTTGAAACGTGTGGTTTCATTAATATTCTCTTACACTGATAATAACAAAATAATATACCACGGTCCCAATTTGTCAGAACTATAGATATACGCAATTAACACATTTATATTGGCAAAAACATACGAAACACATAGACATCCAAATACTAAGAATACCACAAATATCTGAATATTATGATGAATTAAATATGCAACATATTGTAAAGTAATATGAAAAAAATTATGCCAAAGTTACACAGCACATATTATATTTCCTGCTTTATATGAATATTGAAATATAACTCAAATGAACTAACATATAAAATATAGGTATGTGTAACTGTTTGGGTAAAAAATATCCAATTATCGTCAAAGCTGATCAACACACGGTTTTTTTTTATGATTTGAGTATATCGACTTTATGAACTATTTTTTTTTACAGTAAATACTACTCTAGCCTTAATGTCCTGTTTGTCTATTCATTGGTCATGTGACAGCCATTTATTTATCTGCGACAATAAGATATGATTATGACTACACATGTTCAACCTCACAATGAGGTCAGAGTTCAAATACATATGAGATACATAACATACATTTCCCACATTCAAGCCTAGAAAAAGGATGTGTATCATATTGATCGTTGATGCATATCTATGTTAGATCTTAGTATAGTATATAAATATAATTTCAGATCCTGTTTCTCCATATTTTAAGAAACATTCAAGTACAAAAACGAAATATGTTTCGACACAAATAGATGCAAGGCTCTATAAGTTTAATTTATTTTAAAAAGCTATGAAATAAGATTTTTGAAAATTACCATTGACTAGTACAAGGCCCAAGAATTACCGCCTTAATACGATACTGCTGATTGCTTAAGCAGGAGAGGTATACCTCAAAGCTATTTAGCTGATTCATAAAGTCCCTCCAAGCCTATACAACATTAATCTACATGTAAATAGTTCAATAAATAGAAGATCTACAGACTCAACAGGAAAATGACTGCAAGCGATTAGTATCAAATACAAAACAAATATTGTTATCTATCATAATTACACTCAAAGTCATGGCAGTTGTATTGCTACAGGGATGACTGTTTGTAGTAAACACTATTTTAGAACGTCGTAGTAATTTTTTTTTTTGACTAGAGGAGTTGGTTGAGTCTACTCTCAACAGACGAACACTTCCATTTTAGGGATTAAATCGTAAACCGTATCCGGTATGAGCATTTCCTAAAAGTATCCTAAATTTACATAGTTTACTTTTTGATGACGTTATCATGCCAATTGAGCAGTTACTGTTGCCAGGAGCTTTCAAGGTGTACCAGGCTGTAAAACTCTAATGAGCTTCAGATAATATGAGTCGGAGGGGCTGACATTGAAAAAGCGTCTAGTCGTTCGAATGAAAAAATAAACCAATACAAGCAACACCGAGACCCCATAATGTTTAGACCGTGCACGTTCAAAATCCCTCGACAATTGGAAATCGGAAAAAGAGCTAATGGAACTGTCTTGGTTGGTCTCCATTAGCCCAATTAGGTGCAGAAGAGTAGGACTTGGAACTCCATTCATTTCATTTCTTTTCAGAAATATGAAAACAATTGAATAGGTCTATGCTATAAGTTTAGTGAATCTGATATCGGAAAGATGTGTCTGTGAGATGAGTTCTTGTCATTAATTGTTCACTATCTTTGCATTCACCAAATCATTATTAATCTCCTTTCGTAAGAGCAACCACTATAGTAATATCTATCCATAATAATGTACATAAAACTCGATGTTGGAAATGAAATATTTAATGTAATACTTGTATATACTATCATCGTGTGCCATTATGCTTTTATGGCCTCAATGTAATTTAAAAATTATCAACATCGAGGAGCAAGAATATGCTCTACTGCGGTGACTTATATTTGTGAAAATAATGAAATGATTACATAACTTTGAACAATAAGGTCTGACAATAATGGATTGCCAAATACAACTGCGCTCATTTTCACTGCATGTCTTAAAATATCATAGTCTGAAACAATAGTGAAAAATAAATAATATTGTAAAAAAAAATTAAAATCTGACCAAGAATGACTTTAAATGTTTAAAATCAATTGATACATCTGTTTACAAAAGGAGGACTAATTTAAGACAATTCTTATTTTGAAGCTATATCATGTTCTACCAAGCCCTTCAAATATGGCAGATAATTGAAATTTAATAAGAACAGAGATAGAAATAGTGATTAATATAAGGCCTTTAAATTAAACTTACCGATTACATAACGTGTTTCCAGTTATTCACTCTTGCAATTGATATACATGTTTCCTGTTTGTAAAATTGGTATTCTACAAGGTAATGCTATCTCAAGACTGGGTCTACCTATGTTATTGTCTTATTGTCTGCGAGGAAATTGGCCAACAATTAAGATACCATAAAATAGATATCAATATAGTAAGATCCAATTAATCTAACATAGGGAAAGGTCCAGTAATTGCTCTTAGTGAATTATTTCTTATAGTGGCCTTGAACTTTTCATGAACCTAATTAATACATAATGACGGGATAGGAATCGACGATTGCATCTGATGACGTCACAAAATCCGGATTTCAGGTAAGTAGGAAAAATGTGGCTAAAAGAAATCATAAATTGCGGATTAAAACGGATAATGTCACTATTCCATTAATGGCAATAGAGTTTGACTAAAAGAATACGGCTTAAAAAGTCACATCAAGCTTAGTGTTCTCAAAGCACTGGCCTAGGTCAGCAATGGAAAAGCTTATTAATTATCATGTTCCTTAAGCACCGGTAGCATAGATTGGAATATAAACAATTTACCCTACCGGTACTTATGGAACATGATTAATTATGTGAAAATTAGTTAGCCATTAGGATGAGTTTAGTTGAAAAGGCACACACACAATCATACACGTACTCTGACATATAAATACCATATATAGCAATGGCACCAGTCCTGAAATAATTATTTCCTGAAATCTCACTTAGAAATCGATTAATCTATTGATATAACATGATACATTGAATGAAGAAATATCTACTTTTAGAATAAATGGGCATTGTTCAATGGTTCAATTCAACTGAGAACAGCCGAACTGCTAAGGAAAATGTTGTGAGTTGCATTTTGAAAGTTCAAATGGATAGGCCACCGACATTCATGGATGGTAACATGACATCCAGTGGGGAAATGTCCCCCCCCCCCCCCCCTTTATAAACATGGATTTTACCCCCAATTGTATCCCCACTACATTTCGTACAATTTAAAAATATTACATTTAGGCTAGTACATTTTTTCCCCAAAGCATGTGTGGTAATGCATCCAATTAATTTTATTTTCACAATTTTTCCTGGGGGTTAAAAGATAAAAATGAAAGGCATGTGCCTATGAGCTGCCGCATTTTGAATCTCAACCTCGATATTTGTGCCCCCATGCCCCCATCCCCAACTACCATCACCACCATTAATTCCTTCTGTCTCGAGATCTGGCGCCGCCACTGATGAAATTTTCTACTTCAAACAGTATTTTCCTTTCAGATCTCTGATAACTTTTTTTTTTTCATGAAATCCTGCCTGTAGCTCTTTTAATTTACAGATAGTTTCTAGGTCTGTAAACAACCTTTCCTTTCATTGATTCCTCTGTTATCATTCCAGACATATATAAAAACCCCTAGGACTGGTTATAATAAGATTAAAATAGAGTTTGAAGATTAGAACTTTCAATATCTAAACACTAACTGCAGCAGAGGCTTTTGCTTTTTCGAATTTTATTTGCTTGAATATAAGAGGAAAGAATTTGTAAAAACCGTTCCTATTATAAACCACTATGACTTTCACGCAGCTCGAACGCAATTACTCGCCATTGTAGAAAGTGAATTGGAATATCACAGAGATTTCCCATGTATGATTGCACCCAGTTTATGACCATTGCTTAGAATCTA